TATATATATATATATATATATATAAGTAAATATAAATACATAAGTCAATATATATATAAATATATATATATATATACCTAATAGTAACATAAGTCGATGTTACGTCTGTGTGGCTTTCTCAACTCCTCCTCGACACGGCGGACGGTGGGTCGGGCGGCCGGGGCCTCCCTGCCTTCCCGTCCGGGCCTGAGTGGGGAAAAGAGCCAAAAGGGGTCGTCCGGGAAGATTATCCTGCCCTGGTGCGCCCGCCCCAGCTACGACCTCCACGTCGAGGAGTGGAAATACCTCGATCGGATGCTGGCGGGGGTGATCGGGATGACGGCCCAAGAAGTGTCGGAGCGCTCCCTGCGGTTGGTCGGGCGGGACCTGCTCCGGGAGATGGAGGAGCCCGTCCGGATGCTCTATCAGCGGCACCTCAAGCCGCAAAAGATGGCCCATCCCGGCCAAACCAGGCTTTTGAAGTCCGACAATCACCTACCCACCACGGCCCCCCATCATCGAAGCGGCAGGCCGCCCCGCGAGAACGCCCCCGAATGCCCCGCCGAGGCCCCTGAAAGGCCCAAAGGCAAATCCCCCGCTATCTCGGCCGCAAAATCCATCACAAACTCAAAGGAGGAAAGTCATGCCTCAGAGGTGGCGGCTATCAACGCCGCGAAGGCGGCTCTCGCGACGATTCTGGACTCGATGAGCAAACGGCTGTCGAATAGGGAGCGGATTAAAACCTCCCGAGGAAAGGACGCGAAGGCGGAATCCCTTCACGGGGATACTAAAAAGTCTCCTCTTCCCCTCGCCACCCTTCTGCGGGAAAACATCAAAAACGCTCAAGAGGGTGTAAAACATATCGGTCTCTCAGCTTCCGAGTCTGCCATTAACGGCGTTCATAATCATTCAAGCCGCATTAGCAGTATTTCTAGTAATGAAACGAGTGCGCGGTTGGACCTTGAAGCGAATAAATCGCATCCGAGAAGGCAAGCACCATCCCATAGTGGGATGGGGACTAGGAAAAAAATATCCTCTAGGAAGGTAAAGGATAAAGATGAGATTAGTGTACACTTGGTATAGCAACCTTAGAATTTTATAGGCTTAGCATTATATATGTATGTGTGTATATGTACATGCATGTTTATTCACACAAATATACTAATTAAATAATTCCTTGGAAACTGTATTGTATTAGATATTATTTTAAAACAGAGAGGAGTGTAATGTATATTTGTTATGTGTGTGGAGGAGGGGAGGCAAGAACTCTGCCTCCACGTAGTTGGGCAATGATCTTATTCTTGTTTTTAATGGAGTAAACATGCTGCGCTATTTTACCCACCCCCTTAACACTATGCCTCAGCCTTTTTAGATGTACCTCACCAAAATGTCCTCCATTCACCAAGAAAAATAATAATGTGGTTCAACCTACCTCTACTTACACATGTTTCCATCGTATTGATTCTTTTTCTTTCATTCAAAATTTTACTTATGGATTCCTTTACCATACCATATATCTGTTTTATTTCTCTCGGTACTCTTTAAATTTCCATCCAGTTGCTGAAAACCTGGGTAAAACCATACACAAACACAACGATAAGACTTTCTTTCAAGGCATCTTTTTCTCTTCAGCTCGCATTACTATTTTTTCTTCCTTCGCAAGTCGTATCCATATAGCTTTTTCCCGTTTGTAGTCCTTTATGCTGCCGCCAGACCCCTGCTTTAAATGCAAGAAAAATTTAGGCTGCCATGCGAGTCGTGATGGAGTCTGCAAAATGTATTGCGATCATTGCTTTACGGAATTTTGCACCAAAACGACGCGCGATCAGCTCTTTTCGCATTGCTATTTGCCATGCGAGGAGCCTGTGGTGGTGGGGGTTTCGGGAGGGCCTCATTCCCTCTTTCTTCTTCACCAACTCGGCATCCTGCGGAAGCAGGGCGAGCTACGTCAGGGGGCGGGCGCGGTTAATTTCGAGCTCTTACCATTCCACCTGCGGGAAGATGAACTGGTGCTACCCCCACTTCAGGCTTCTTCTTCACCGGCGGAATCCTCGAAAGATGATGCGCAAAAGGTGAATCCCTTCGCGAGCGAAACCACCGAGCACGTTCAACAACTCCGCGACACCCTTCTCCGGCAGTTCGACCAACTTGAGGCGCTGGTGCGGGGGATGGAGGGGGAGTGGGAGTACGCGAACTGCCCACTTTTCAGCCCCGACGAGATTCAAATTTATTCATATTCGGACTTTTTAAGGCCGCAGGAGCTTCAGATGCTTCGCGGTTGCCTCCACCATCCACGGCTCCCCCTCACGCCGCGCGAGGAGCTCTACGAGCGGGTCCGCCAGCGCGTTCTCAATTTGGCCACGCGCAAACGCACCGCGCAATGGCGGGCGGCGAAGGCCGAAAAGGAAAGGGAAAATAAGGAGAGGAACCTTCTCTTTTCCTCATCCTTGGCGGAAAGCTCACCCGAGGCAAATGGGGTAATTGAATCATCCAAACCTTCCCCCTCATGGCATCATCTTGCGGTCGGGGATGGGGTCCCTCGCTGCTGTATTGCGGCCCTGAAAGTGATCGTGCAGGGCGGGACGGGCGAACAGATTGCTCATCAAAGCAGTTCTCGCGGCTATATGGCAGATATCGTCGTCCTTCGCCCTTTACGCGCGCTTTTGACGAAAGAAATCATCTTTTACAACCGTTTGCATGGGATCGCGTGTGGGTACACCCCTGCCTTGTGTACCGCGACCTCCTTACCGTCTCTTCATCGCGTTCTCGAGCAGTTTGTGCACTCGCTCGTATCAAACTACTGGACGAGTGCCTTTAATGTGTTGAATACGGTAAAAAAGATCGAAGTAGGACCGCCGGCGGTGGAGGTGGTGTTAAAAGGGCTCGTGCAGCCATCCCACGACGAGTCTGAAGAAAAAGAACCCGCGATAATGCCAGGAAAGCCACCAAACCCCCCGAAAAAGACTAAAAAGAAAAACAACACGCTTGGGCGCTCCGCCCAGCTCTACCACGCCCAGCTCCAACGCACAGAGCCCCTTCTTCACCACATGCGAAGACGCGTTGGAGAAGAGGATCCCGTGCGATGCCGCTCACCCGAACATGCCCCAAACCCCTCAGCCCCGGGGGTGGAAAAAAATAAAAACGAAGACCCCAACGCAATCGGAACCTCGTGTTTCGTCTGCGGGTGTCCGTTTTCCGCCATCCACGGCGCTATTTGGACCGAACGCGTCCTCACTCCCGCCCTTTCCGAGGAGCCTTGCGAGGGTGAGGAAATGGCCGAGGAGTATTATCTTTGCCATAGCTGTCATGGCTGTTTGGAGGACGTTGTGGGGTTCAAACCAGCGTCTTCTCCTCAGACCCAGCAGCCCCACACGGCTGGAATCGTGGAAGGATCCAATGCAAAGTTTAACTCGGAGGGACTGCTCAGTGTGCTGGCGGCTCTAGCTTCATCGTTCTAATTGTGAAAATGAAGGGGCAAGGGGGCAGGTTCGGGAAGTTACCTGAAAGTGTAAAGAGGAAAGAAAATACCTACATTGGGTACTTACTAAGAATTGTTGTGATGGATGCGAAGTAAAACTGTTTAGTCAACGATTACAGTTGAAACATTCGACGACGTTTGAGTTCTGAACTTATGCATATATGTGTGTACACATGATGCTTAATTTAGTTATGAATAAGCTTTATGTTTAGTTAAACCTTTGGAAGGATCTAAAGATTCAAATAAAACGAGTATTTAAATTTAAAAAAAACATCGTACACAGCTGTGTATGAACGATTTTTGAGGCCTTTTCCTGCTATTCACAGCTTTGACTGTATGACTTATTGTTCTTGGTATAAGTCTAAAAACGCCTGAAGTGCATTAAAGGAAGTAGTAGTGTATCACTTCACGTCTATTTTTCTATACTTGTCTACCATCATACTTTGCAGGCAAAAAGTAGTGTAAATAAAAATAATAAGAGTGCTTGAAAATAAATCTCTGTTTAATTCAAAAGATTCAGATATATGTGCATATAAGCCGTGAATTATAGATCTCATCTAATTTTGGTTTATAAAAAGAACCATGACAACAACGCTCCCGCAGACTTCATCTACAGTTTCTGAGAATCTCCTACCTACTACTTCTCAACACGCATTATCCTCAACACGTTCCGTCCTTCTCTTTCAATATCCGGATGGTGAAGAGTTCAAGGTGGTTTTTGACGTGTTATCTTGCTATGATGTTGTCGGTGCGATTGGTTACGGTACCTACGGCTGCGTATGTTCAGCCTTTGATATTAACCGTGTGATGGAATTCAACATGACCCCTATGGCAGAATACCTAGCCGCTGAAACAGCGGAAGAAAGAGATGCCCTCTACAACGCCGCCACGCATGTCGCGATAAAGAAACTCTCTACTCTTTTTGAGTATAATCAGCCACGCATGTGGCTTTGCGCGTCGCGTGAGATTCAGCTCATGATGGCCTTTAGACATGCCAACGTGTTATCTGCGGTCGACTTCTTTATCCCCTTGGGAAATGTTGAGATGTTAACCTACGAGTCCATGCAGCGACTGCGCGATACCTTTGATAGCGTTTATGTCGTTATGAAAGAAATGGACTATTCGCTGCGCGAGGTCCTGGACTCGGCCTTTATTACCGCCTCAGAGGCTTCACCAGAGTATATGGAATTACTATTTCACGGTTCCAATAAGGATACCCTCGCAACGCAATCTACTTTAAATTCCCCGAAGCCGATCGAACCCTTAGTTTTCAGTGATGCAATTAATGCTGAAAGTATGAAGAAAAACCAAGATATACCGATGAATATAGCCACGCCATCCCCGGAAGACTCTGGTAGGAATAAGCAAATGGGAAGTATAACTCCGCGTGTGTTTTGTGACCATATCCTTTCGGGTAGCTTCGAGAACAGTCTAATCTATCGTGAAATCCGTAAAGCCAGTAATAGTGCCCGATTAGTATTGCGAAAATTATTCCTATCCTATCCAAATCAGGTGGATATAAACGATAACGCGGAGCATTTGGATAGTGGTAGCAATAGCAAAGGGATCTGCCTCACACCTCCAACGTCGAAAGAAGGGGAGCCTCAAAGCCTTGACGAAAATAAAATGCCTCTGGCTGCGGGCGGGGAATCCCAACAAATACCCCGTACCCCCTCCGAACCCAACCTTTGCTGCCCGGGCACCGGTTTACCCCTTCACCCGCTTTCCAAAGACTACCGCAAGTTCATTCTCTACCAAATCTTCCTTGGCGTCGGCTATCTCCACCGCTGTCTAGTAATGCATCGGGATTTAAAACCGGAAAATATTCTTTTGGATTATAACTACAAAACCTGCATTACGGACTTCGGGCAAGGTCGCGACGTCGGCGTTAACAAATCCGAGTGCATTCACACAATGCTAAGCAATTCCTCGCAGTGGTACGCTGCGCCGGATACCCTGACGTTGAGCATCGATGCCGACAAAACCGGCTTTATCGATAATGAGTCCTTTTACTCGATTGATGTCTGGTCGATTGGGTGCATCGCGGCAGAGATGCTCATCGGGCGCCCGTTGTTTTATAACCAACACATCTCGAGCATCGGGCACCTGACGACAATTGTGGAGATCCTGGGGGAGCCCTCGTCTGAGTCGGTGCAGGCCATTTTGGGTCGCCGCTACGAATACGACAGGGAGGCCTTTCTCTACACCATCGAGGCCATCCGCGCGCTGTTCAAGAACCATCAAAGCATCCTCAAGGAGCTCCTCAAAAGCCCTTTCGGCGACGAAACGGAGGATGAGGTGCAGCTCATCGTGAGCTGCCTGGCGTGGAACCCGCAGGAACGCATTACCATCCAGAAGGCCCTGGAAAGCCCGTACTTCATTGAGGACGGCTACGAGCCCGTGATCGACCGGAAGGATATAGCAAAGCAGGTTCCTGTGGTGCGACCGGAGGAGATCTCCGACATGCAGAGCGGACGGGCTTTTCTGTGGAATCTCTTCACAAGGCGGCATCCCGAGGTGAACGAGCTGTGGCGTGTGCTGGAGGAACGCCATAACGCGAAGCTGGGGCGTGAGGTGTAAACAGAGAAAAAGCCAATGTTAAGTCCTAGATGAAGCGAACCGAAAGCGCTCTTCTTGGACGACGATGAGGTGGAAAAAAAAGGTGGCACAGCAAAAGTTAAAACTTATCTCTTCAGAAGCAGCGAAGGACTTGGAAATATAACCTTGGTGGCGCACACGAAGTAGTTTTTAACATGATAATTTACGCAACGAATGGTAATAGCTACAGAAGCTGCATATTGTTCCTAAATTTACTTGATCCATACTGAATGGAATTGGATGTGTTTATATTCTTCTAAAGTGGACATCCAATGGCAGGAGTTTAGGATGTTATAAATGAAATAAAAATTGCATAAGCAGCAAAGTTAGGATTACGCAAAAATCAGGTTGCGAATTTCCATGTTGAACAAAATGTTGTTTCCATTATTGCTAACATTGTTATGTGTAATTTCTAAGGTGTTGTTTTCTGTAAAATCAGACGCATTAATAATACAAAATATGTACTTGCATGGTTTTCATCTTATTTGCAATTCTAATACGCATGTCTCTTTTTTTCTGAAGTATTTTCTTCAATTTTGATTTCATGTTTGTTTGCCTTTTTCTTTTTCCAAATCACACTCGGGTATTGTACCAGATATAACTCTTTATACTATCCACAAGGGTACTAATGTAATCTGAAAAAGTTTAAAAAAATGAATATTGATATCACAATACAAATTTAAATATATATATATATATGAAATTGTATTTATTCGGCTATTTTCATTTAGTTTTGTCTCCACACCCCACACCATGAGAAGCTTGGTGTTTGTTTCTTATCTAATTATAGTGATTTCTAATATATAAAGCTAAATTTTTATTTCATAAAACATTCATTTATCTGTGTGCATATTATTCATTTCCCTTGGTTCTCTTTTTATCTCCGTTATTGCTTCCCATGGAAAAAGGGCGGGGGCGGCCCCTATTTCAGTAAATATGTCGAATCGGACTTCAGACCTCAGTCAGAGACTCGAGCGCCGAAAGCATATCAGCAACATCAGTGTGGTACTCCTAGACAAAATTTTTCCGACTGAAAGGTGCTGCTCTCTTTGGCCTAAAAAAGACCCTAGTTTTCTCGAAGAGGAAGCGGTATTGGATACCCTTCTTGAAAAAAGGGGTGCACACATTTTCAATGTCGAAGATGATAAAATGAAGGAATATTTTTGTGGAGAAACAACTGCATATGACCTCAGCGTGGTTACGCCTAGTGGGGAAACTCCCTCGCAGGAGTGTATACGAAACCGGAACTCAGGGCAACTTTTCGTATCCTCTGACTATCCTTCATCTATCACGGATCTCAAGAAGCGCTCTGAGCTGCTCCTTCTTGCTGAGGCAGAGGGAGTATACAACAGCGCCAACGACAGAACTAACTTTCAAAGTCAACACAAAATAGATAATGACCACCAAATAGGCCCTACGTCACGCTGGATTCGCCAGATACTTTGCGTTTGTGACGACCTCGAGAAGCGTCTCCTTAAAGCAACCCTAAAGAATGAAGATGTTGACAGCGATAAAATCCTATCTGTCAACAAGAAGATAGATGACGCTATGGATGATACCTTACAAGTACCACCCACTGTAGCATCTTTAACCTCTATTACTGTTGAAGCAAACCCTATCGGGGTTGCCCTCCGGTTTCCGCGCCTTCTTTCCCGCGTTCTCACGCCTACAGAGACCACAAACGACTCCCCCCGTGGGGTGTGGGAAGTCCCGGTGGTTTTACGCGTCCTTGTGCGCGCCAATATTGTCCACGCGGTGTGTTACAAGCCTCGTTCTACAAACGTCGTCCCGGTGTCTTTAGATGGAAATGAAAATGAGGAACAACGGAAACGAGAAGTCTACGTCTCCTATCGCGACACCGTCGCCAAACATGAGACCCACTTCCTTTCGGCGCTGCATAAACTTATCGCTGTGCTTCTTCGAGCCTACCGTGAGGAGCGGCATGGTTGTCTTTCCAGTGATCCCCCAAGTCGCGGGACGATGCCTCAGACGCGTTCTCTGAAGGTCCCGGTTTACCACGTACGCATCGCTGTCGCGGATAAGGGCGAAACGCGGTTGTTCCAACTTCGCCCGCTTTGTGACACACTAATTACGCACTGCATTGACCCAAGCGCCTCGTTGATGTGGGAGAGCACGTGTGTGCTGATGGTCTTACACAATCTATCGGTGATCACCCAGGCGCTCCTGACAGTGATGGAAGTCCTTGAAGCTGCGGAGAGAAATAGGGAGAAAAACGTAGACTACGCCGGGAAAGACACCATGTTGGGTATTTCGAATGCGACAAGGGTGGCATCTGAAATGAGTATAGTACAGCTTTTGGTGGCGCTTGATGTGTTTACGATACACTGCACTGAGCACCCTCAAAAGAAACCGCGTAGTGGGGTTTTTAGCGACACGGTATTGAATGATCAACTGACAAGAGAAGGGAACATCTCGAAGGTGAGAATCAAAAAACTTTCACAGGCCCTATGGACATTTTACAATGACACATGTGTGTTGCTGTTTTCACATCCCACCACTCCGCCCTTGATACACTGGACACATGACCAAGCCCTTCAGTCGCGCATCACAACTTTTTTGACTTCTTACTCTCCTGCCCTTCCAGGGCCTTTCATGGACCTCTATAACGAATATCTTCAGCAAAGTCGTAGCAACGAGTTTAGATATCCTCTCATTCCTATAGACATTTGTGAACCTCTGGGAAGTACGGAAAGCACTTTGTTAAGGCTCTTTCTGGAGACGAATAGGTCTTTTATTGATCACACTGTGACTCCTTTACGTCATTTAATGATACCTCCATCCATACTTGTGCATTGTCGTCAAGGTGTCTCGCGTAGCCCCAGCGTGGCATCGATGTATTTTATATCAAGTATGAAACATGCATTGAGAAACTGGAAGCACAATGACGAAAAGGCGAATCCTGATCTCGCATTAGGTCAAGGCTCAGATGGAGAAGAAGGAAATCAATCTTCGATGACTTTTGCGCGCTTTATGAATATACTAAGAGAAGCGCGTCCAATCATTAACCCCAATATAAGTTTTTGTGTTCAACTGGAATCTTTTTACCGCCGCATGCTCAAAAGCTAATGAAACTTTGACTTCATTGTTATATTTACTTGTTTTCATTGTAACCCTTTTTTTTTTACAAAATGAACTATTTTCGTGTAATTATTCCAAAAATACATGTTTGTATATTTCTGAATCATGAGTAGCTCAAATTAGGGTATCATTTAGATTATAAAAACAGAGATACATGGGAATCGGAAAAGTAGGTTCGAAAAATTATGTTAACGAACTTTAAAGTAACAAGAACGATTTATTAATGTTTAATTCTCTATGCCGATATTTGCTTCTACTTGCATAGTTAGATTCCCATTATTCAATGGCAACTCTGAAAGTTACAGTTCATGAGGCACGGGACCTTCCTGTGATGGATCGCGGAACAGGTCAGGCGGATCCGTATGTCGTACTTAAATTGGACGACATGGAGCACACCACTGACATCGTGCGTCACACCCGACATCCCGTTTGGAATCTTGACTACCGTTTCGATACCCCGGATCTTTTGGTACTCCAAGAAGACCCACTTGTAGTGCGGGTGTATGATCACGAAATCATCAGCCGCGATGATCTAGTGGGGACTGTCCTATTGGATTGCAACTGCATCCTCGGGCTGGAGAACCCCTTTTTAACAGGGTGGTTCCCTCTGCACGACACGATTGAGGGCCTTCGTGGGGACATCCGGCTGACGATGCAAATAAAGTTTCACGCGGCAGAAAACCCACTTAGGCCGACATTACCGGAGCGTTACGTTTACCGCGTGCACATGACACAAATGGAGCAAGATGCGGCCACTGGAGAGCGTCCGCGAGTGTTAAGTGAAGGTAAGAAAAAAGCCGAGCAAGATGCTCTCCCAACCAAAACGAGCAAACCGGAAGTGTCGCCTTCTGGAATTGCAAAGGGCGTCCCCTTCAGCGCCGCGCGAGTGTCGCCGATGCACTCACCCACTCGTGCACGTGTAGTGAAAAGGAATTTTAGTAATGGCTGGTGCCGATCCAAGTCGAAGACACCGATCTTGTACTTGGGTCAAAGCCTTAGCCCGCTAACGACGACACAGTCGCTCCATCCCACACTAGCTGCTGAAGAAGAAGGCATCTATATCTTTGGAGCATGGCGCTTGGACCCAGCGGTGTATCGTGTTGAGTCCATACATTCTATGGTAGAAGAGCTCATTGTGAAGGCAGACCCTGAACATTCACGTCTCACAAATTTGCGCTCCATCCGCGCAACAAATGAGGCCCGCTTGATTCAACTTTTCAAGCTCAGTGGCAAAGTTCGACGGCAACTCGCACGCAAAGTTGTGGAAATGCGGTGTAATGCAGTACTTGGCTATGTGGAGGAGTTCGACATTGAGCTAAAAGACATCATCGTGCGTGCCTATGGAACGCCGTGTGTGATCTCAACCACAACATTTGTCGATGAAAGCAACCTTCTGAATGTAAGTACGGGGTGGCAGAGTCCAACCGGTGTAATAGCCCCATCCCATACTTTAGGCCCCAGCGTTGTGGAATCTGATGTCTTTAGCTCACTACTGCTGTCACGTATAGCCTCTGACGAAGCTGTAGCAATCGGCGGCCCTCCAAAGCTCACTTTAGCCAAGGCTAGTAACCTCACTACAGCGGAGGAATCGTCTGCCCCGCCGGACATTCCGCTGAAAGACATCGCTGAAACGTTACAGAACGATATCTACAATGGTCAAAACAAATCTTTCATGCGCAAAGACAGTGTTGCACCGCTGCCTACTGTACCTCCAAATAAATCTCCGTTTTTGTCCATCACGGCATTTCCCACGTTTTCAGATGGACAGACACCTGATCAGGGGCTGCCCATAGTGCGATCGAAATCGAATCTTACAGAACCGCCATCATACTCAAGACCCACAGTGGCATCGACACGCACTGCAATTACCATTATTACCGTCAAAGACCTCCCCTCGGGGTGTATTCTTCGTATCGGTGGCCATATTTGCTCGCGTTCTGTCAAAATCGTATCCAGAGGGAAGTCGAAACAGGCCATCTCACAGGAGCGTGACGCGTGGTGGATGGAGCTGCGTGAGGAGCTACGCACAAACTCGCGTGCTTTCCACTGCAACGCCATTCTTGGCTACGAAGAGGAGACGCAGTGTTACGAAGATGTTATCATGCTTTCGTTATTCGGAACCGCTGTTGTTTTGGACCCCTCCTATGTCTCTCTCCGTGCGGAGCACACGTACCTTTTTCATAAAGCCTGTAAGCGCTTGGAGACCAGGAAAAACTGCTCAATGCTCCATAGTTCCCATGGCCCACATAGTAAAGTCATGAACTTTAAACGAAACTCTCCCACGCCGCACTTCCACGGCATGCTTTGTCGAATATGCAGCCACAAGCCAGTCCCGGAAGTGATTATTGCGTCCTGTTCACTACCCGTTGACCTGGTCACTACAGGTCCACCACGGCTTGTCCAAGCGACAGTTGTCAAGTCCAAGCGCGATGTTCGCGGTGTACAACTCGCCATGGAAGTTTCGCAAGCACTACCCTATATGGAGTTTGCCTTGCACAAGCAGCTTCTCTTTAATCTTCGGCTCCTCCGGATGAACTCGTGCTTTGGTCTGCGAGTGTCAATTGTGATAGGACCGCAGTACATCATTGGGATATTAACAGGAACTGGATTTCAGCTTGCTGCACTGCCGATTCCAACCATGCCTCGCGTAACGATTGCTAATTCTTTGATTGCAAACAATGAGCGTGTGATACGACTTAAAGATCTCATCGCAAGGAATCGTCGCATGCACTATGTAAAAGGTATGGGTCTTAAAAAGCAACAACACCGTCACCATCAACATGAGGGTGGTCGTCATGGTAACTCTTCTTCTTCTTCTTCGAGCACCACTTCGGCACTTTGGGGAGAACGAGCAGGAAGCCGCAGGAGCACTTCATCGCCGAAGGTATGTCACTCGTATTCTTCAACGTCGTCGTCGTACTCCTCCACGAGTCTCTCAAAAAACCAATGCTGTTCTCACAGCAGTATCAGCTCCCGCCGTTTACTGCCCCCTTCGCTGATGAAAAGCAAACACCACAACAGCGGCTCCACCTTAGGTGCGATCTCGTCCCCATCCACAATGGGGTCCTCGACCGAGCGTGAGGTTTTCTGCATTGAGGCCAGCGACTCCGACTCGAACGATACCGAGGATCTCCATCGCCCCGCCGCGGAGGTGCAGGCCCTTCGACTCGGTGGCAGACGCGTCAGCGACTTTGTGATCAAAATCGACGACGAGGATGAGGCGGATCTGATGTTGGGCATGGATTGCACAACGACTTTCGAGGATAGCCTTTTGCTTACCGTGCCGTACCTTCCCGAGCAGGTCAATTGGTTCGACACGCAGGAGTACGTGACCGTCCATCGACGCTACGCCGTTGATGAGTTGAACTCGCGGCAGCTGAACGAATGCTGCGCCGACGCGAAACGCTCATTCGTCGTGGCCGTGGGCTGCCTTACCTGGCAAGAAGGAACCCTCTCAAACGCGCATCCCAACACTAGTAGGGGCGGGAGAAAGGATGTTAAAGACCTGGTACGCAATCTGTTTAATGGCATCGCGCGGGTGTTTGAGTTCAAAATAAAATTTATTTTCGATCAAAACCTGGGTGATCTGCATCTTCGCTTAGAGGGCTGCGTGCTGACGAACCAGATGGCGAGGATGGTGGGGGACGACAAGGAAAGCAGTTTTGGATGGGGAAGTCTGCTTCGACTAGAGGACCAAGCCTTTCGAGAGTGCCTACGGCATAGCAATCTGGGGATTTTATACCGAAACTACCCTCCTAATGGTGGAAGTAAGGAAACGAGTACCATCAGCAACACCGTAGCGACTGTCACGTTGCGAAACTTCGCGGCCGCCCTGATGGACTCCAGAAGAACGAGTATGACGTTGGATGACCTTTCGGACCGAGCCCCCACCGATCCCGGCGTTACGCATGATCAAGAAGTATCCTTACACCAAAGCTTTCCCTCTGGACTTAAGGTGGCAGCGGCCGTTTCTGACACCGCAATTAAAGCAATGGAAGGAAAGAGTTATCAAGCCAAACGGCGTCTCACTAATGACTCCCTAAGCATCGATCAGACTCGTGTTCTTTACGCGCTCTACCAACTGCTCTTCGCGTCTTGTAATGCCCCTTTCAGCCTCACGTATATGCTGAACAGCTACCGATTCGAGGTACCGCCGCTTCGGGTGCGGGCACCTGGCACGAACGACAATACCACGGCGGGGTATTTGCCCGTTTCTGGCGGGGGTGGGGTTGACAATGCCTACAACAAACACAACATCACAACCTACACGGACTACCGCAAGCGCAAACCGACCCGCTCGAACACGGTTGTGGGCCGCTGGCAATCCCTCTGGTCCGCCACCAAGAGCTCCCTTCATAGCGTGGTCGAGCGCACAAAGCAGGCCGCCAATCTCTCCAATGACTACTCCGTCAACAACAAAACAAGCCGATTCGCAGGATCCTATAAGGCCAAAGGCGACCGAGGCGAGGCAAAGGCGGAGACGCTGGAAACCCATTATCACAGACCCACGGAGCGCCTTCCGTCGGAGCTGGGTGCGCTTGATGAGCTCATCTTCACCGTTCATTGCACGCCGCTCGATTACGTCCCTGGCAAAGTCATCGTACGCTACCTCGGACGTCTCTCACAGCACTTCATCCGTCAATCCAATGATATTAACAGGGGTGCACAACTCGGAAACTTTTACCAACATGTGGAATTTGAAATACGGTGTTTGGTGCAGAGCCTGGTTGGCGTGATGGGCGGAAACGCTATTTTAAAATACCGGATTGTTTACCACGAGATGAACGACTCCGACGGCTCCTGCTCCGCCTTTGTGTTCTTCTCCGTTACCGGGGATGTCGTCCATGTGATTCCGGCGACAGACTTGATTAACAGCGTGGACGAGAAAGAAACTAGCGCTGGGGAAATGGCAGATGACGTCACTACAGTGCCATCGTTCACGTAAAAGGAAAAGAAAGGAGGAATTCGTATGGTTGATCTAAAAAAAAAAGTCCAGGGGGGTATCATGGGAGCGTGTTGATATGTTGCCAATATGGTTGGTATATACTTTATTTGGGAAAGCACATGCTAAAATTCACCCACAGCAAATTGTCAAAAGCATTGTGAAAATTAGCTAGCTGTCAGCCGTGCTTCTGTAAAGTAGTATAATGAAAGAAGGAAATGATAAGTTCTAGTGGCACGGTATACCTCATGATTATTTCTTTTTTTTTTCCCATTTAATCCATTTTTGTGTGCGTAAATATCGATAGAAGATGAGTTTTCATACTCAGCGTTTTTATACACGGTACCTTACAAACCTTTTTTTCTTTTAGAATGGCTTTTGTGTGATTGTAGTTCATAAAAAGTATCTCATCAACCTCTCTCTCTATATATATAACAATTAAGACTTGATGAAATAAATCACTTTTGAATGCTCTAAATTTGGAATAAACCCCTTATTTAACTTTTTTTTTCCCCCACGGAGTCTCTTGTCAAGGGTATAGAAGTACGATTAGCGTTGGCTAGCTATTTATATCGTTTTATGTGCGCATTTTTTTTATGTTGTACTCCTTGTTTACGCCTGACCGTTTATCCCGCGCTGCGAAGGCGATCTTCGGCATCGCTCTTCTCGTATAGAAGGACGACCATCTTATTTATCTCTGCGCTGTCTCACTGTCCCGGCTTCATTGGATTGGAGTACTCCCATGGGTGCATGGGTAGTTCTGATGGAGCTCATTTCCCAGGGAAAACTTTTAATTCGTCAAACACATCAAAAGCGAGCCCACGGCCGTACGAAAAGTCCTATCATGCAAACACGTTTTCTGAAAGCAGTAAAGGAGACGCCAACTTTCAAAGTGAAGAAAATTGCAAAACCAACCATGAGGAAAGACAAAATTCTTCCAAGTCCACCTCAGCTGAAGAGGAGGAACGGGGTAGTAACAATACTCACTTCGATGCTGAATGGGACAAGACCCACAATAAGGGCACCGCAACATCGCGCGAGCGACTAGGGATCGCAAAAAAATGGGAAAACGCCTTTTTTGGCCGCAATCTTTACGAACCAGGCATGCGGGAGCACTTTCAGGAAGCGGTTCAGAGTGAAGCGCAGGACGAGCTTGGTCGAAAGTCATTCACAGCGCTCCTTCCAAGCTGGCCCGAAGACGAGGCGACCCCTCTCGAGGAGTTCCGTCAAGTCCCGGCTGTGTTGCGGCTGCGCTTTATCATCCACCGCCTCACAATGGCCGAACGGCGAATCCGCTACGCGGTGGATTACGGCAGCCTGTCGATGATGTACCAACTCAACCTCGGCGAGCTGATGCTGCACGATGCGGAGGTGCTGCTGAAGGCGATGGATTGGCTAAATGACGAGGTTCAAGAGCGGATTGAGGATTTGAAGGGAATTGTCGTTAGGGTGAAGTATGACTACGATTTGGATTGAGGCATGGTTTTAAAAGAAAAATAGCGAATCAACTCTTGCGGCTCTTTTGGACCAGTCATGGAAATATATGGGGAAAAGAAGGCTGGTAAGGGAAACTCTTGGAGTTTTGCTACTTACTTTAGTGATGGATTCGTTTAGTCTTCTTTGTTCCGGTGAAATTGATCACGATAGGAAAAGTAAAAAGCTTAGTTTTACACTCAAACATATACCTATTTCAAAAGCGCGATAGACAGCACTAAAGCCAATTTATAAATGTCTGTGGAAAATGAAATAACCTACTTCAAGGATCCGCAACTGAAGGCGGTGCCTCTTGTAAAAGGGAAACCGACCCCGGAGGATAAATTCGTCTACATCGGTCGTTGCCACCGCACGAAACGTGATATCACGTTATGCTATCAAACATTTGGCAACCCACAAAATCCGTGCATCTTGCTAATCTGCGGACTCGGCTCAACGTGCTATACCTATCCCATTGTATTCTGTCAGCAGCTGGTGAGCATCGGTTTCTACGTTGTGCGCTTTGATAACCGCGATTATGGTCTTTCCACGCATTTGAATGGCCTCCCTACAATTTCAGGGCCTCGTGTAATTCTGCCCGCGTGGATGTCCATTGGTGAGGCAAAACTGCCCTACCGCATTGAGGAAATGGCGCTCGACGCCCTGAACCTTCTTACGGCGATTGGCATCTCCAAAGCGCACGTCATGGGCTCCTCCATGGGTGGAATGATCGCCCAGCGTGTTGCGATTTACCAACCCGAGCGCATTCTGAGCCTAACCATTCTCTTTTCCCACTGCGGCGGCCCTAATGTGAAGCCCCCATCCCCGGCCCAGGGACTGTTTGCCGTGTTTGGCAAGCCCAAAAGTGAATCCATTGAGGACATCGTGAATTTCAAAATAAAGCTGCTCCGGCTCAACGCCGGCAACCTTTCATTCGACGAGAAAGAATGTATCGAGATGATCCGCACCACAAACAACAGGATGCTGGATTACCGAGAAGGGGCAAACCGCCAGTTGTGGGCAATTAGACGCTCAGAGAGGCGTGACATCGCCCTTCAGGAACTGCGTGGCGTTCCGACGCTGATTATTCACGGTTTGAAGGATACGCTGGTGCCGTACGAAAATGGGATACACCTCGGGGAGTTGATCAAGGACTCGAAGGTGCTTCTCATTCCCGAAATGGGCCATTCATTGCCTAACGAAGTAATCCCTACTATCGTGGAAGAGCTGGAACTGTTGAAGCGAAAAACGGAAATGACTTTGTGAACAGAGTGAGGCTATGAAACGATAGAAAGGCAAAAAAAAACACGAAAAGGTTGAATTACTGAAGGAACGATTGACCTTTGAGATGGCTTGGGTTATGTACATGCCACTCTTGCTAATAAACCCCTTTTTCCCCCGGGGTAAATATATTTTTTTAAAGAAGTAAGCTTTAATGAACGATCAATTTACAGTAAGAAACTTAAAAACACGAAAGTTTTACTCCTCTCTTTATCTGTGCATAGCATATATGACTTGCTAAGAAAGAACCCCTACCGATGCCTAATTTTATGAAAGTTGAAAAAGGATATAAAATTATTTCTGATAGTTTTATGGGTATCGAAATAATGATTTATATTGAAACCACAAAAATGGAGTTAACATAAAAAAATGCTATAGCTGACTTTTTTATTTCTCGAAATTATTATTGGTATGCCATTATCACGTTTCTCCCTCTGTTTGTCAGTAACAAAATCTCAATAAACATACTCTAGAATTCAGTTTTTGCTGATACCTGAAGCAATAGGTTTGGGGTACTGCATTCATGCAAGGACACTTAGCGGGGTAAGAAAATGAGGAAGGAGATATATCTTTTACACTATCTGAAATGCCAGCAACGGTGGTTACTCAAGGCTGGCATGCCTCGCTTTGACGGTTGCGCTTGTGCAAACATTGTCTCATTAAGGTAACAATGTCCAGGCAGGCGTAGATGTTTGGACAACAAATAATCAGCCACTTTGCGTGCCCTGATGATAATTTCTTGTAGAAGGGATGCCGCACATGCGGGGCAGCATTCAAAAGCGGGTTCTACATGCAGTTCAGAAGAAAAGTATTGTGAAAAACACCAATCACGGGCACATGATAGCTCCGGTATAAATAACAGTGAAATACGTGCCTTTGAGACTGCTTCCGTGGTACACTACTGGTATTTTGTGTGTATGGAGGGGGAAGGGGGGAGGGGAATCCGCCAAGTTGTTAGTTGGAGTATAATTTTGCTGAACCTTGTGGAAATAATAATAGGAATCACGGGTATCTGGATTACTATTCGAGCGCTGCGTCCTTATTCTAATCCAGGCGATATTGGGTTACTTGTTACAATTCAAGTGCTTCAGGGTACTCTTCAGGACTCCTGCAGAGTACTTGGCAGTCTCGAAACCCGCCGCCTCTATCTCATGCCCGCTTGTGTTCTCATCCAAACGCACATAAGTGGGTGTGCTAGGGGCATTTTATGAACCCATTAGGGCGAACCTATGAAGACAGGGCAAGTATGGGTCTAACTCACACGGACGCTGAGCTTCGATACGATCCTTTCGGCTTTTGTCAAAACACACCTGGACACCGATGATGCAATGTGATATTCCGATGCGTTGTTGGGACAATGCCACGGAATGAAATGAACAATGCCATTAGGGATAAGCTGTCGGAAACATGGACACGCGGGGCGTGCACACAGGCATCATCAACCTGGTGGTTCGACTCGGGCAAACTGCTTTCTTCGCGAAGGTACACCCGTTGGGATTGCTCATCACAACGTCCACTAACCTTTTTTTTGTGGTAGTACGCTTGTATTCGTTCAACATTGGCCGCATATTTTAAATGTTCCGAACCCGTATGCCTGAGTTTCGGAATTGGGCCTTAAAGGTGAAACAACGCGTGCAATTAGCTTTATGATAGGTGTCGCATTTTTCGTCCTCAGCGAAATGCCTCTGCTATAGCATATCTTCCCCTGACTGTGTGTGCACATTTTACTTTTCAAAATATACTTCTGGTAGAATGCTCCCTGATGAATCGTTTATTTTGTATTTCACTCCATCCCTATGTGGACGTTGACTTTTCCAGGACTCGAATATTTTTTCCAGACCCTCTTGAAGGATAGCAACATTGCAATTGGGATGTTTATGCTTAAATACATATCTATATTTCAATATATACCCCTCTATTTGATCCCGTCTTTCTTATTTCATTTTTTTTCTTGCATAGATTGTTGTTTTATATAATTATTATCGCTTATAGTCATTGTTCCTCCTTGTCAGTAAAAGACTTCAAAGCGACTAATTACTTTGTTTTACAACCGTTTCTTTTGTTTTCGTATAGGTTATTATATATATTTTTTGAGAGTATGCTGATTAATATTATCGCCCAGCAAGAGCAACACTGCATCAATGGGCTGGAAGTCGAACCCGATCAAAGGGTCAGCTCGCTTTTCCGAGAAATTTCAAGGCGTTTAAATATTGAAAACGTCGAGAGAATTCGACTTATTTATTGTGGTCGGCTTCTTAAGAACGATCACCTTCTCAGTGAATACAACATAAGTGACGGCTCTAGTGTGCACATGGTGATTCGCTCCGCCGAAGCCAGTCACGGAAGTGCAGAGCAACCGTCTGGACAAAACAGCAACGTCCATACCATTAGGACCCATACGATCGGCAGCGGAATGCAATCTATATTAGGTGCTTTTGTGGACGCGATATCGCAGCGGCTAAACTCTGAACCCGGGGAAGCGGACGCCACCATAGTAACCCACTCCAACGTGAACCCCTTTACCGAATCCAGCTTTAGTGTGTTTAGACACTCTTTTCCACTTAACACTAACAGCGGTAGTAACAACACGCAGAGAGAGGCCACGGCCCCCTCGCAGCCCCCCGTCCCTGAACCCCAACTTCAAACGTCAGTCCAGATTACAGACTTATCTGCAGAGGGCGGGACTAGGAGCTCCCCACAAGCACACACCAACACCATCACGACGCCAACCGAAGTGCCCGTCGCCGGCGTCTACCTGCACGTTCACTGCAATCTTGCTGAGGTGGATCTCTTGCCAGAGCGTCTCGGCAGGGTAATGCAGCAAATGAATCGAGGCTCTGAATCACACACGCCAAACATCAACATTCAAGTTCATCGTACCCCCAGCGCGCATCAGTCGGATCACCCACAGGAGGAGCAGGACCCTAGGCCTGATGAAGTGCCATCGTTCTTGAAGATATTTTTGTATTTTTTCGCTGAAAATATCTCTTTCACAGATATATTTGGTATTTTAAACCGAAACTTAAGCTTTTTTATACGGAAGCGCGAAGGTCTACGACAAAAACTCAATGATCATCTCACTCGGTATTATCCCAATATTGATAACCTCAATCCATATGAGGAAAATAGATCCCGCCTCAAAAAGATTTCAGACTTCGAAGGTGAGTTTGTCTTTTCGAATCTGATGAAGTTGGAGTCTGTACGAGAGATGCTGGCAGAATTTACCTCGACGGGTTCCCAGCGGGAGCTCATCACTTCGGAGCTTAAAAACGTGTTAAAATATTACTTCTACAAGTTACTAACTATCATCCAAAGTGTTGAACCAACCGATGATGAACAATGGGCTTCCTCACTGTTTCATATCGTAATCCATTTAAAGGATGCGATCTTCAAACGTGCCCAGCATCAATGGTTCCACGATAATGTCGAACCATCTGTGGTGCTACATAAAATTTATGACATCATCATTCAGCAAACATTCGATTCTTCTGAAATTACCGAAAACACCCAACTCAACATTGTAGAATTGGAAATGTTGGTGACACAACTATTGAATATAGTGTCACCTCTTCTTGAGGCGCAACGCAACGCAAACGAGGATAACAATGAAATTTTTACCCAATGGCGAAATGTCATTGAAAACGAAGAAGCGATTTCAGATACGGAGCTGGCTGACTTAGTTATTCAGGCTCTTAATGAACAAGAGGACACACCCTTGGCTCAATTCAAACAAACTCTCGAGCAATGGGAAACATTGGGAGGTTTGACAGACGATTCTGTTAATACTATAGAATTATCCATAAGACATCTTCCCATCCTGGAGGCTCAATCAAACATACCATCATATAACGTCAATGAAGACCCTAGTCCCAAACCTGAGACGCATTACCCCTTCTGGTCTGAATACTGGAACGAACACCTATAATTTGTTATAAGCATCGTATCTTTAAAAAAAACTTGAAAGGCGAAAATGTTATATCTTAAACTCATAAAGTTATCTAGTACAAATATATATATATATGTGTGTGTGTGTGTGTGATAAATACATGAAAAGTATTCGTATTTTTTTTTACGCAAGAATGGATAATACTACTACAAGTATGGCTGGAGGAAATACATCAGATTATAATTTAAACTGTTAGCTTCATGTTAAGACCAAAATGCTTTACATGTAAACCAACTCATTGCGCATGCTCACTCTCATTCTCGCTCCTGCTACCGCTACTACTTCCCATCCTATCAAATGACTTTCCTCTTTTTTTCTGTTTCTCCAACACAAGTGTAAGACCCTCCCTAGAGGAAAGTAACACCATAAGAAATCAAACGTAGAGATGCTGGCAGGACGCAAGTTTAAGAAAATCGTAGCCAACAGGCTTTCTAAGAACTTTCGAGAGGCCACGTCCATTGTGCAGGCTGTATTGCCTAACGAACTGAAAGGGACAGAACTGCTTGTGCGCAATGTGTTTGTGGGCATCAATGCGAGTGACCTCAATTTCGCCGCGGGGGTCTACCAACCAGGGGTGATTCCTCCCTTTGATTGCGGTCTTGAGGCGCTCGGTGAGGTCGTCGCTGCTGGCGAACAGGTCAAGGGGCTAGCCCCGGGGGATGCGGTTGTCACGCAAAGCTACGGCGCCTTTGCGGAATATCAGATCGTCCCCTCTCGACATGCCAAAAAGGCGCCCTCGCTCAGGATGGCGTACTTGCCGTTGAACCTGAGCGGGGTGACCGCGTCGATCGCGCTTCGAGAGATCCTAAAGCCCCAAAAAGGCGAGCGCGCCGTGGTGACAGCCGCGTCGGGCGGGACGGGGCAATTTGCGGTTCAACTCCTCCAGACCATCTACGGGTGCACCGTCGCGGGGCTGTGCTCGTCGCCGCGAAAGGCGGCGTTTTTAACGGCGTCGTTGAAGTGCGACGCCGCGATCGACTACGGGGCGGAACACGATATGGTGGAGGCGATCCGTCGGGTCTACCCTCTCGGCGCCAACGTCGCGT